ATATATATATATATGTGACACAAAATGCAAAGCAAAAAAAGGGACAAAAAAACTCACTAGATGAATACACACACCTCATATCAGATGCAAATATATGAAAACCCACAAAACGTCTTGAGTAAGAAGTATATTTTCCAGAAAACAGATGAAGGCTTATTTCTTGGTACCCAAAAATCAAAACTACGCCAAAATATAGCATCCAGTGAATCAGAACCAAATGCAAAATTCAAAATGGAGTCCAGAACTAGACTGCATCTATAATGTCAGCACCAAGGTCTCATCCTTTGATTTTGTGATACAAGATATCTGGATTACTAACCTAGAGTGTTAGTTTTCAAATGGAAGTTATATAGGGAAAACACATTAGTGACCCAGAAATACCAATTACAATCAAATTTACATTACAGGCTTGAAGAGTATTAATGGGACAGCTTTACAAAATCATTAGGAGATAGGGCAAAAAAAGTCTTCGAGCAAGTAGGGGCAGAGCCAGCAATAAGGGCACTACAAACTTAATAAAGGTCAAAATCCACCCTACTTGATTCTCTCTATCAACATTTTCTACATTATACGGAAATTTTTATTTAAATAATCTGTCCATAACTGTTTCACATTGAAATAAATAAGTGATAACTACAGGATGCGTTATGTAAAATTCCTCAAATTCAACAAATAATGTAAAATACTTGTGTACGCCCATGCAATTAATCCAACATACATCACTAGATGGATCTGTGCAACTGAACCGACAATACAATGCAACGCAATGCAATTCTACTCAAATCTACCAAATGCAATAATAATATACACAAAATATTAACATTAATTAGCTCAATTGAACCAACATGTGGACTCAAACAAATTGCAATCGCTGCATAATAGTCCATTACAACCAACTAATCTGTCTTATTTGTCAAAAGTTTGAAAAAATGAAATCAACTTTCTTTTGCTCTGATTATTTTAAAAATGGTAGCTTCTATCAAATCCAAATAAGCCCACTGCCCATAATTCTTATATAAGAAAATAGTCTTCTTTTGTCATAGAATCTAATGACACGATACGGGTATGCCCGGGAAAAAAAATAAATTGGCCCATAAATAACATGCAAATACTATTAAGAAAAAAATATAGTAATTTTGCCACATCATACACCGATAAGTGAATAACTATATTTCAAGATTCTTGGGTTAATTTTGAAATGACAAAAAGAGAAAAATACCTGAAGTTTAACT